GAAAGTAATTGATTTTCAACCCAACCTCCCCCTCCTCTCCCTGAGCTTCCTCACCTTGGTAAATAAAGGAAAGTGACATTTACCTAGTTGCTCAAGGCAAAAACCCTTGGGATCATCCTTGATTTCTCTTTTCCCCACATTCCACATCCAGTCTGCCAGTAAGTCTTGTTGGCTCTATGTCCAAGATGCATTTCTGGTGCCGTGCCCCAGCCCAGCCCCAGCCTTCCTGCTCTGAGATTGACTTTCTCACCAACCCCCTCCCAGCCAGCACCCTCCTGTCCTGACTCTGTGCAGCGGCGTTCTGAAGCATCAATCCCATTTTGTATCACGTCCCTGCTGAAAACCTCCCCGTGGCCCTCACTGAAACTGGAAATAACTCTAAACCACTTGGCCAAAGCTGCGAGGCTCCTTCCTAGGTCCGACGTCACCCCCTCTACCCTCCTGAAGTCCCTCGCTTGAGCCCCCCTGGGACGCAGGACAAGCCTGTCCCTCTCTCATAGTCTTTGCACTTGCTGTCTTTTCCATTAGGAAGCTATTCTTCCAGATCTTGAATACATATCACTGCCTGAAATCTCCCTTTCATGTGTTTGTTTTCATATACGTTATATGTCCCCACCACTCCCTCCCCAGTAGAAGACAACAGAGACTTGGCTATCTTGCTTACAGATGTATCCCAGAGCCCGGGGCAGGACCTGATTCACAGGAGAAGCTCAGTATACATTTGCTCACCGAGTTGACCATGAGGACTATAGCTAAGGTTGTTAGAGCTAGAAGAGAAAGGGTCCAACCTCCTGGTTTCCCAGATGGGGAACCAGAGGCACAGTCAATTGCCCAGGGACGTGAAGGTGAATTTATTATGCAAAGCCAAGTCGGTGATTGCACGTCCTTAGATTCTTTTCTCATAAGCAGTAGCCACTAAGAGTGTCAGTTAGGTATTTCCTCCTACAATCTGCTTGCCAGGATATCATGAAAACAGATCGCAGAACAAATTGTGACATCCATAAAAATATCTATAAAACAAACATTTATTGGCCAGTAGCCACAATACGGGTTCCTACAATCTGTTCTGTAAAGTCAGTGAAGGCCTAGCTCTCTGTGCTTTTAGGCGCTCTACCACCTTGCATGAAGGGTCCACTCAAGGAAGATGCAACATTCCTGAGACTGCTGGTCACGTCTGGCAGCCAGATACCTTAGAACATGGGATCCTCAAAGATTTAGCCCCACGCTTCACCTCTAAGTGAAATTCTTTTACTCTGAACAAGAAATGGGTGGTGTCTCATTTTAGACAATCTACATATCTTGAATACTACTGATTTCAGCAAATGGGAGCTCATTTCTAATACCTGTTATGCTGGGACGCCTGGGTGGCTCAGTCAGGTAAGCGTCTGCCTTCAGCTCAGGTCATGATCCCAGAGTCCTGGGATCGAGCCCCACATTGGGCTCCCTGCTCCGTGGGGAGCCTGCTTCTCCCTCTCCCTCTGCGGCTCCCCCTGCTTGTGCACGTGCTCTCTCTCTCTCTCTCTGTTAAATAAATAAATAAAATCTTCAAAAAAAAAATCATACCTATTATGCTAATTGATGAGCCGTGAATTTCATGGATGCATTCTGTCATTATGGGTGGGGTTCTCTGGGCTAATCGGTCAAGCTGCAGGGGTGGACTGAAAGAGGGAGAGCTGCAGACGTGTAGAGAGCTGTTTGTGTGATTATGTCTCTTCTTAACGCCCAGGGACCACAGGTGGAAGTATTCCCACTCTGGAGGCCAGCAACAGGAGCCCTCCCAACCACCCCCCACCAACAGAGAGGCAGTTATTAAACCTTCACCAGCACACCACTGGCTAGCTGGGTGACCTCTGGAATGTGGGCTAGCTGTGAAATGACCACCTCCCCCGCATGATTACCTCTGGACTGGTGAGACGCCGTCCTGGCTGCACTTTAGAAATTACCTGGGACCTTTAAGATAATACCGATTCCTAGGTCCCCGTTGGTGGTGATTCTGACTTTGCTGAACTAGGGTGGGGCCTGGATATCAGCATCCATTTATTTTTTATTTTTTAAAATTTTACTTACTTATGTATTTGAGAGAGAAAGAGAGAAAGCGTAAGCAAACCAGGGGAGGGAGAGAGACAAGCAGACTCTGCGCTGAATGCAGAGCCTGATGTGGGGCTCGATCCCATGACCCTGAGATCACGACCTGAGTGGAAACCAAGAAGCAGACGCTCAGCCAACTGAGCCACCCAGGTGCCCGTCAGCATAGCTTTAAGACTCACTAGGTGGTTGTAAACTGTAGCCAGGGCCACACTCACACCTGTATGTCACGCTAATGTTTCTCAAAACATTCACCGCAAAACCAGGATTAGCCCTAGGCTGCTGACCCCCAGCCCAGAGCTCCTGGCAAAAAGAGGTAGAAGTTAAAAATAAGGTGTCATTTCTTCTGAGGTCTCAGTGTTTGCAAATGTGGCTGGGGGCAGCCCACAGTACTTGGGGTCAGGTTAGGAGTGGGGAAGGGCAACAAAGATGCTCAGGAGCCCAGGGAAGGATATGCTAGTCCCAAAGAGCTCCAGGCTCCCCATGCAAGGCTGTCACAGCCCCCTCCCTCGGGGCACTACTTACAGAGGCTCAGGAAGAGCCCACAGGGGTTGCTGGCTGCGGACGTCACCAGGGAAGACTTGAAATAGAAGAGAAAGTGCAGCTAGCTAGAGGCCAGAAGAAAGGCCAAGCGCGACTGGAAAGAAAACCCCAAGCGGGACTGGAAAGAAAACCCCAGTGGGGAGGCTCACCCCCAGGGAGAGGGAGACAGACAGCCCCTGGGGGGGGGTGGCTAGGGGATGAGACCAGTACCTCAAAGAGAGGGTTTAAGGTGAGCTCTGCAGGGCTGGGGGAGGGAAGCTAGTCCCCCAAAGAAGGGTAAAGGGTTAGTGTCCTCCTCCTCAAAGGACAACTTTTAACACTGTGGTAAGATGTCTCTGTAACCCTTGGCTACTCTTTTCAGGTCATGTGCAGCGGTCCCTGGTTCTGCGTCCCTACCCCACACAAACAGTGCAGGACTGGCTCCTTTTGTACCAGGAAACTGAATTCCCTTGACTTGTCTGGGCAAGGCATTGCCTTCCAGCTGCAGGGGCCAAGGGCTAGCTGCCCCCAGACGGGCCACATTGGCATGAAGGTTATTTTGAATTAAAGAGCATCAAAGTCCAGCAGATTCAGGAAAAGCTCTTTACTGCCCCCTCAACTGCCTAAAAAGAATTTAGATGGAGCATCTGCTTCAGGAAGACACAGATAACTATGTTATGATATAAAGTAGGTATGGTAGGGGCACCTGGGTGGCTCAGTCGGTTGAGCCGCGGACTCTTGATTTCAGCTCAGGTCATGATATCAGGGTCGTGAAATGGAGCCCCACGTCAGGCTCCACGCTCACCGCTCAGCATGGAGCCTGCCTAAGATTCTCTCTTCTCCCTCTGCCCCTCCCCTTCTCTCTAAAAAAATAATAAAGTAGGTCTGGTAGAAAGGGAGGAACCTAGCAAGGCCTGTTTGAGCCAATCCTCTGTGACCCATTGTTCCTGGGGGGGGAGGCGCCCAGCAAACATTGATCAAACATTTACTCTTTTTCATCTTCCTGTGAATTGTATTTCTTTCTTGAAGTCCCAGACCCCTACCCCTTTCTCCTTAGTTCAGAATGACATATGTACCTCATTTTGCCTGTCTTTGGAATTTTCACATCTATGTGTATTCCTCATATGTATTCTATTAAATTTGATTTTCTCCTGTTAATCTGTCTCATGTCAATTTGATTCTTGGTCTGGCTAGAAGGACCTCGAAGGGGACAGGACATGCTATCCCAACCTTACTTTCTTCCCTCTAGGGCAGAGGCCTGGGGGCTGGGGCGGGCCTGGTCTATCTTGGCGTCTTTCTCTGGGAAGGTGTGTATATATGAGGCTTGGGAGTCCAGGGCAGCGGACTTGGACTAGGGTGCCATTCCTGCAGTCACCACCAGGGACCCCGTCTAGCACTGTCTTGAGCCCGACCTCTGGGCCACACATTTAATTACTGAATGCCCCAAACAATTGCCTGACTCCCAAGCCCCAGGCTGAGCTCCGCCGGAAACAGCGGAGGAGTCAAGGGAGTCTTGACTCCCATGGCAATGGGAGACAGACTGACCCCAGGCGGAGGAAACGCCGGGAGGGGAGAGGCTGGGTCAGACCTGGGCTGGGTGTGTGCAGGGGTGCCATGGGAGACAGACTCTGACCCCAGAACGAGGAAACACTGGGAGAGGAGAGGCTGGGTCAGACCAGGACTGAGTGTGTGCAGCAAGGGCTAGGGCCACTGACCTGGCCTGAGGATGGGTGGTGGGAGGGCTTCCCGGAGGAGGAGGCCCTGGGGGGCAGTGTTGGGATCTCCACCGGCCTCAGATAAGGGGATTCCCGGAGACTTGTTGGAAAAAGTCTAGTTGGGGATCTGTGACAAAAGGAAACTCGCGGCCCCAACTCCAAGAGGACCCCTTAAACCCCACCCTGGTCGGCCACACCTTGCTAACTGAAGTCGGTCCTCCCCCCCCCCCCCTCAGGCTGAGCGGCTCCACGTCCTTATTCCATTCACGGCTTGCACATTCATTTGCACACTTTTAACACCTTAGAGGTTAATTCCTGCCCTCTTCCTACAGTCTTCCCTCTTGCCAACAGTGGAAAGCACGCCTCTCTACGTCCCCCCGATTAGGTACGCCGGCTTTCTCCCCAGCGCTCCTTTGTGCACACTCTCCCACGCCCCCCTCGGCGCCCTGAGCGCGGGCGTCTGCAGCGCGGCCCCAGACCTCGTTTGCATAACCCTCGCCCCCTCCCCTTCCTGCGCCTCCAGCGGGTCCCCGGCCGCGGCCCCGCCCCCCTGCCCGCCCCCTTCCAGAGGCTGGGCCGCGGCCTCGCGCCCATTGGCCGCTGGGCGGACTGGCCCGGGCCGCGGCTGTGATTGCCGCCAGCGCATGTCAGTCCCGGAGCCGGCGCGGGTGGCGGGGCGCGCGGCCGGGCTGGCAGCCGCAGGTGGGGCTGCTCACGGCGACGGACCTAGCCCGGGAGCCCCGGAGCCCCGGAGCCCCGCAGCCCCGCAGCCCCGCGGAGAGTGCCCAGGATGCCCCGCGGGGACTCCGAGCAGGTGCGCTACTGCGCGCGCCTCTCCTACCTCTGGCTCAAGTTCTCGCTGGTCATCTACTCCACGGTGTTCTGGGTGAGTGACCCCAGGGGGACCCTGAGATGGGGGCGTGTGTGGTGCCGACACTCCCTGGACGCCGTACCGGGATAGGGTCTAGACTTGGCTGCTCCAGGGAGGGCGCGGGGAGTGCACGCCTGGTTCCTCGTCCCACTCTCCCTGGGAAGTAGGAAATTGTGGCGCCCCGGCTCAGCCTGAATGTCAGCAGCGGATGGGCCCGGAGCGTTAAAGCCCGTTGACTACGACGAAGGAGCGCTCCGTGGCTCACCTGTGTGCACCTGCCCAGAGCGTTGGTTTTCCGCGTCTGCTGCGCATGGGCTGGTGCGCTAGGCGGTGGTTACCACGGTGTACCGGGTGTTATAGAGTTTGCCTCCCCATCAGCTTGTGCGGAAGAAGTGGTCAGGCTTTGTGGTCTGGATTGGGCGGGGAAACCTGGACTCCCACTAGCGACTTGCGGATGTCCCAGAGCGAGATGCTTCCCTACCGTGCCTCGGTTTCCTCTTCCGTGGAAGGAGGATGGGCGTGCCTTGTCAGCGGAGTAGTTGGGAGGATTTCACCAGATCACGTCTGGGGAGGTCTCCAGGAGCTCCTGGACGTCGGGTAACTTCCGCAGCCACTGAGTTTTACCTCTTCTTGTGTATTGCTGGGCGGCAAGGTGTTAGTGGTTGGACATGAACTAGGCCTTTAATCCTGCCGCAACCACTTTCTAGCTGACTGATCTTGAGGAAGTTACTTAAACTCTCTAGGCCATAGTTTCTTCATTTGCAAACAGAAACAGTAATTATATTCAACTTTAAGGGTGGGTGTGGAGATTGAATGAAGTAGTCCAAGCACAGTGCTCAGCACCGGGACCAGTGAAGAGCTTAAGGAGTGTGAGCCATTATTATTATTATTATTATTATTATTATTATTATTATTATTATTATTATATACTGGGAAGCTGGGCCCTCCTGGTTAGCTGTCACAAGAGACTGATTTCTTTATGAAGGCTTCAGACTAGGCTGGACCCCCAACTAAAAATGAGGACATCTTTCTATAAGCCAGCTCCAGCCTTGCCACTCTAGAATAGTCTCCTGCCCCCAGTAGCCACAGGGCAGACTTGCCCAGGGACTGGAGGGGTGATCCCTGGCTCCCATCCCTCTTGAAACATTTGCACACCGTGTTCTCCTCTTCAGACCCTCGTTGGATCTATTCTGTTAGCAGGAATAGCTAGATCTGCCTGATAACAGGTCTGACTTTCCATTTGACCCCTCTATGGATATGACCTTGCCTGGTGGGCAAGAGATCCAGATTCTAGTCTTGTTCTGTTTTTGACTCACTGGGAGATCTTAGGCAAGTCACTTCCTTGTTTGGGACCTCAGAGCTGTTAAGTGACTTGCCTATCTAGAGAACTAGGCTAAGCCCAATTCCCAGTCCAGTTCTCTGATTCTAGGTAATGTGGAAGAGAGATGAGCAGTACATTTGGGGGTCAGAGGATGGAGCAGAGGATGGTGGAGGCCTCAGGGAGGCAGAAGGTTGTATATGGGATTGGGGTGGGGGTGATTCTCTCCCAAAGTTGCATCAGCATCAACCAGAGACTTTAAAAAACACTACAGATCCCTGGGCCCCGGCATAGATATTTGTTTAAACTTATTTAAGCTCCCTAGGTGATTCTAGGTGTAGTCAGGGTTGTAAACTGCTGGGCCTGATGGTCTCACAGGCCCCTTGGTTCTGAGATTCTTTGCCTGCCCCTTGCTTGTCTGGCCGCAGGAGCTCTTCTCTCTGGAGGTCACAGTTGAAAGAGGGAAGGCTAAGGTTGTTGGGGGTGGAGGGTAGGTAAGAAAAGGGAAGACCAGGAATCAGAAGGTGGGGGCTGTGTTTCTGGCTTCACCCCTTCTCTCCATGTGTAATCCCTGACCAGTCTCTTAACCCCCTTGCACCTCCATTTTCCCATCTGTAAAATGGGTAACTGATACCCTGCCCCACACCTCAGTGGATTGTTTTTAGGATTAGTGATATGGGAAGATAGTGACACGTGGGTGAGACCGGTGCTGTACAAGAGAGAGTTATATAGTTACAATTGACCTCGATTGTCAAGGCCTTGTTCTGTCGCTGTCCCCTGTGGCCTGCAGGGAGACCACTCAATGGCCCTTGCTTTGCTTCTCTTGGGGCCGGGTGCGACTCAGAACTTGGAATCTTTCCTTTCCAGCCAACTGAGCTTGCCCTACCAAGTCCTTGACTTCCCATCCCTGGAAGTATTTCAGCTTAAAAACCTCCCCACCCATGCCAAGAACTCAGCCACCTGCCAACTCTGCCAGGTCAGCTCTAGGTGCCAGATTTTCACTGCAGGGTGGAGGCCCAGTGTGAAGAAGTAATGTGTCCTAGACAGGCTTTGCTGCTAACTGGAAACCCCTTATAGGAAGGCCCATTATCTCTGGTACCATCCCTTGGAGTGAGGAGTGAGGCCAAGGGTTACTTGCTTTATAAGCCCAAAATACTAAGACCTTCATCTCAGACTTGGGTCTGGAAGGGGCCATAAGTTTTACCATAGTCCTGTGCCTTCTGTGAGACTTTGTATTTTCAGTCTTATTATCAAATATGAAATGCAAGGACACTGTACAAAATTTTAAAGTACCAAAGAGTAGTCATCAGCGACAAGCCTCCAGCCTCCCCCTCTCCCCTGGTGCGCCCTGTCCAGAAGGGACATCTATGATCAGTTTCTTACCATTCATTTCGAAGATAGCATCCTAGCCATAGGATGCCCTAGGCGCGGACATGTGCATGTGTTATATATTCTTTTTTTTTTTTCCATATAAGGGAGCACATGATACACAGTTCTGCCCTTACCTTTTCACTTACATTTAAGTCCATGTGAATTTTGGAGCTCTGGTAGTGGCCGCCTCATTCTGTCTGATGGCTACATAGAGCTCACTGTAGGCTATGCCCAAAGTCATTCAATCAGTCCCCAGCTGGGGAACTCGGGTTGTTTCCGATCTTTGGTGACTGCAAACAGCAGTGCAGCAAGGAGCTTTGAACATGTCATTTTGCACATGTGTGTGTATATCTGCAGGGTAATTTCTAGAAGGAGAACCAGTGGGTTAAAAGGGTACGAGAATGTATAATATACATACAGACATGCACTGATCATAAGCGGATGCAGCCTGATGGATTTTTACAAAGTGAACACACATGTATAATCAGCCCCCAGGTCAACCACTAGAATGGAGAGCAGAGGCCAGAAGCCCCCCCCCCCCCCCCGCACCCGCTTCCGGTCACCACCCCCTCCCTCCAGTGGTAATCACAGTTGGAATGTCTAATAGCATAGAACCGCTTTGCCTGGTTTTGCATGTGCGTTTAGAATTTTGGTGTTTGTTAAACTGCCCTACATAGGGTTTATACCAATTATAGTATTATTTACTCTATTACTTTAAACTGACTCACTTTTTAACCTTAACTTATTTTTTAAAAGGAGGCTTTATATCACCACTGCCAATGGGAAACCGATGTTGAGCATCGACGAGAGCATGCAACTGTAACACTAAATAGTGCAGGGAAAACAAAACGTGATTAAATCCTGGCTGGATGGGTGATGTAGGCTGTGCACCTGAGTTCTGTGTTCGAAAGGCAGGCGGGCAAGTGTTTGAGAGGCTGAAAGACAAACTGGCACCAAACAGATTTGCTCCCAGATGCAATGGGAAGGATGGGAAGGAGAGTGAGCAATGAAAATTGTTTCTCAGTCTATGAGTCAGTATAAATGTGACCTGAAGCCCTCACATGACCTCCTGTCCCACACTTGGGGGCCCTCTCGTTTTCAGAGGGGGGACTGCGGGGCTCGGGGCATGTTTCAGGGTGCCTCCTCGGCCCCAGTTCAGGGCTCCTTCCGGTAGGTCTCACCCAGAGGCATTGGGGCCTCCTCTTCCTACCATGCAGCATGAATCACTCTGACACATGTGCCCTCAGCCCACTGGGGAGACACCTCTAATTTTAGCACTGACCACAGGGTATCCTAGAGATCCGTTTACACCACTGGTTTTCCTTGCTGGACTGTGGGCTCCTGGAGGTCAGGGGCGTGGCTCGTTCATACCCTCTTCCAAGTGCTGGTCTTGGGTCTGGGCACAGAGTGAGTGCTCAGGGAAAGCTGTGTCTTGTGAGCCAGGATCTGAGGTGGGGGCCCCTGACCAGGGCATGAATTGGTTGTGTAGCCAGCAGTGGTCAGATTTGCTGAGGCCTTGGATTTGCAGAGTGGCCTGGGCTGATCACGGAGGCACTGACCCTCTGGAAAGCCTCAGTCTGTTGCCTTGACAATGGGGTAAGGATTTCCAGTTGGGTACAAAAGAGTGTCAGGGCTGGGGGATGTTGACTAATCAGGAAGAAAAGGACTTGGGGCGGGAGAGGCGAGTGGGAAGCCCTTGCCTTCTCCAAGGATGGAGAAGCTTGGCCTGTGATTCTTTATATTTTCCTATAGTTTAGGTTTAAGAGTGTGGACCCTGTACCAGGCTGCGTGGGTTCAGATCCCAACTCTGGTGTTTATAAATTGAGTGACTTAAGCACTAACTTCCATGAGGCCTCCATTGCCTTATCTGTAAAGTGGGTGATCCTGGAGAGCTGCTGAGACCCTGAAATGGATGAATATACAGGAAGAGCTTACAGCTGTGCCTGGTACATTAGCACAAACACTATAGCAACTACCTAAGGATTAGCCAATCTTTTCCTACCTTCCTCTCTATTTTTCTAGGAACTCAAGATCCATAGACTGAGAATTAGAAAGGTCCTTAAAGGTACCTCTAGAGTGACCTTTTCATTTTACTGAGGAGAACAGGCCGGGAGAGAGGAAGCGAGTTGCTTTAGACCCCATAGCAAGTTTGGGACAGACCAAGAGCAGGACCCATGCGACCTGACTGCATTGGGTGGCCATGACCTTCAGCAGCCCTCACCCTGCCCCCCTCTCCCCCCCCCCACACCGTGGTCTCCCCCTCCTGTCAGGGCCCAAGGTGTAAGTGGAGGATAGCATTTCTGGAAGGAACCATGTCCCTGGCCTC